ATATTGTGGCTACTAATTTAGTTGATAATTAAAAAAAAAATTCCTTATATTTTTTATTTTTGGTGGGATGCAATTAATGGAATTAATCACTAAGGAATTTAGCGAAGATTAATGAAAACAAAAGGATTTCTAGAACTTTTCAACTTTTGTTTTGTTCAGCATTCACTCTTTTCTTTTAGAACAAGTTATTTGATTCCAGACTACTGTCAATCATGTGAGAAAATTGGAGTAAATTATAGATTAGTCCCTCTCACTTAGGGAAATGAATTAATCAATCACTTTTTTTCTTTCAAAAATTAATTATTTAGTCCATCACTTTTTAATTCATTCAATAACTTAATTTTTTTCATTAATTTTGTAATAAATTAGTTATTTTTATTCTTAAATTGCTTTTTTTTATTTGAGAAATAATTTTTATTCTTAAATTGCTTTTTTTTTTTTTATTTGAGGAGACATAATTTTTATTCTTAAATTGCTTTTTTTAGGAGATAGAAAGATAGTGGATAAATGAGAGAAATAAAGTATCAAAAGTACAATTTGAGGAAAAAAAAATTACTAACCAAATGAAAAATTAACGAAATGCCTAAATTATTGATAAAATAAAAATAAAAAAAAATCTAAATGATCAGTTTTTAAAACGAGAAGGATTAATTACTTCATTTCTCAAAATAGTAAGGACTAATTTATAATTTACTCTAGAAAATTGGGACATAAAGAGATGCTTGATTACTCCTTTGTTGAAATTCAGCAAAACATCTCATCTCGTCTTGTCATATTCCTCTTTGCTTTCTATCTTCCTTTCCTTTTCGATTCTCAATTTCTTGTCCTTTTTCATTCTGTCTTATCCATTTATGTCCTTCATCCAGCTAAGAACATTTTTTAGTTTTTAAGCTAAGAACATTTTTTAGTTTTTAAACTAGAGTAGGCTAATTTGTAAATGATGAGGCAAATGCAGCAAATGTTGCTGAATATGCAGTAAGACAATTCATCCACCGAGCCTCCGACTTACGATTCCATCCAACCTCTAACTGACAACCCTACCAATCGTTAGTACCTTTTAGATTTTCTTTTTCATGTAATAATAAAAAAAAACTTTAAACTTTATTCCTAATTAAATATTTTAATATGTATTTTATTTTATTAAATTTTATATACTTGTAATAATTTTTTAATATTTAAAAATCTTATGTATAGTGTTATTTTTAGTTTTTAAAGCTGGAGTAAGTTAATTTAAAACAATTATAAATTGAGTAAAGATAAAAAAATGTAAAAAAAAAAAATAGCGATAGTTTTAACCATTGCTAAATACAATTTGAAAAATCATCACTAATTTGCGACAATTTTAACGACGATTTAATAAAAAATGTCGCTAATTTTTCCAATATTAGCTACTTTTTCTATAAAATTATGATGGTTTTTTTAATTAAAATTAGCGATGGTTTTTTACGTAGCTAAATTAGTGATGACCTTAAAAAATTATCGCTAAAAATTAGTGACAAACATTTTGTCGATGGTCTCAAAATCGTCAAAAAACCGTCACTAATTTTATTTAGCGACGGTCTAGATCGTCGCTAATTCTACGTTTTCTTGTAGTGTTTGTTATGCACTTACGTCAAGGTGCTCTATTACCTTCATGTATGTAGTAGAATCCGTGCACCTTTTCACTCCTGAAAATTTAGTAATCAAATCCCTAAACTCTCATATAACATTTTTTGTAACATTACCAAGAAAACACTAAAAGAGATGGGGTTCTAACTATTTATAAACGAGTTCATTGTAACTCAAAGGGTTGCTTATTAAGACTCAACTACACTATATTCGTTCAATTGATCAACTAGCACTATTTGATCGCTTTATTGTTATTGTTATTTGTTGGCTTTCTTTCGGCTATTGGATCTCCCATTGTATGTGTTTCATAGACAATTTAAATATTTCATTTGCATTCATTTTTGGTCCTTGTAAACGTTGTTGTTTGTCCTCATATTTCTGCATCTTCAATTTTGGTTCTTATGAGTTTTTATTTTTATTTTTTCCCTTCTCTATTCTTTTTATTTGCATTTTCTTTCATTAAGTGGTTTTGTTATTAGCTTATTGTTTTTTTTTAAACTTTTTTCTACAACTTGCATGCCTTTTTTTTGTAACTTCTCGGAACCATCATGTTGAACATTTAATGCATATTTTTTTTAATGTTTGATCCTTGTTTGCTTTTGGTCCTTAGCAATATTGTTTATTTGGTCATTTTGTTTTCTCCATGTTACTTTTTCATTCCTCTCGGCTAGGAATGATTGATAATGCTTAAAATACATGTGTTTAAATTGCTAAATCCTCCTGCATTTTACTATTTTGAGATGTCTAAATGATAAACATTAACTATTTTTGTATTCTATGTGCTAGGATGTGGAATTGATTAAAAAATGACGTTAAAAGAATCATATAAAGAGAATTTATAATCGAACCAATTCGGCCATTGGAAAGCATAAAAGCATGGGCATGTAAGCACAAGTAGTGTGGGCACGCAAATGCGACGGACATAGATGCACGAGGACATGAAGGCGTGGGCACGTTACAACTTGACACGAGCACGTTGAAATTCAAAAAAACAGACAACAAACTTCAACTAGGAAAAAAATTTATTGCGATTTGCCGAGAAAAAGACGCCAACCTACCAAAAGAGGAAAGAATATTATGTACCCTTTATAGGGAATACACAACTCGTATAAATAGGAATCTAGCGAGACTAGGGTAGAGAAATTTTGATATTATTCTTCATAGAATATGCAACATTATTTCTCTCTCTCTCTCTCTCTCTCTCTCACTCATGATATGGCGGTCGACATGAGCGGCTAGACCACTTTTCCTTGGTGAAGGTAAGCTGAAGCTTTTGAAAATCAAAGATTTTAAGGTGCTTCGACATTAATGAAAATCAATTTGTTTATTTCAAGTATTGAACTTTCTTCTATGCTTATTTTCATGATTATTTGGTTAATTTCTAATGTGTACGAGTTAGCTTATTAACTTAGATAATCTATAGCTAGATCGAATATTGAATCCGTAATTGTTCAATCCATTTGATTTATGTAGTAACTAGGAGTGTATGGTTTGCTATGTCGGAAACTAATGACTCTTAGGAGGATTGTTCAATTAGATTAAATGCAACTACATGTGTTGTGTTGTCTTGCTTTGTTGATCTTTCTAATACATAAAGCCATTGTTTGATTAAATCTTAGATCGTATCTAGGATTGTTAAATAATGAGAGTTGATTAGAATACATGTTTCTAGTTGGCTAATCGTAAGGAAAGATTGATTTCAATATCATAACAAATATTTGAATGGGAATCGATATTTCTAGCACCAAGAATAAATTTCAAGTTCCAAAAGTGGATGTGACCCGAACCAAGGTTTATTTACTTGAATATTTATTTTAAACTCATTTTCCGAATTTAATTTGTATAGTTTCGGTTATATCTCAATCAAATCAAAACCCTCCTTTCTTATTTATTTCATGTTTCTTCTAGACTTATGATGACTAACGCGATTGAATTCCTCGTGGGATTGATCCCTACTCTCCCTCACCACATTTGTGTTGTAGGAGTTTAAGAGTTTAATTTGGGTGCACACGATAGCATCACACCAATGACAATGAGCCATCCCTACATCCGCCTCACTCTAGAAAAACTCCATCTCATCCCCACCCTATCCCCTGTATGGGGTGGGGAAGAGATGGAGTTTTTCAAGGGTGGAGCAAGGGGGATCCGATGCCCCACTAAATTTTTTACGCCCGCCCTACTCCATTTTACTTCATATTATTTTATACTAAATTTTAAACTATAGTAAAAAGATAATAGTACATATAAAAAAATATAATTATGAAAAACAATAATTTAAAATGATATTTAAGTACAAGTTTACAACACAACTCAAAATATATTAAATTTTTTTAAATCGAACAAATAATAAACTAAATTAAATTAATAAAGTATCACAAATGCAATTACAAAACACAAATTCTTTCATGTTTTTAGTGCTTAAAGATTATTAAAACTCACTTTATAGCCTTAGAGTTTATATATATGTTAGGCATAATAGTAATTTTCAAAGAAAAGGGCGAGGCGGGGTGGGTGACGAAGTGGGATCGGTAAATACCATCCCCGCCACATCCTCGTTCAAATTCGCGCCACCTCGTTCTCGAATCAAATCGAGGAATCTTTGTGTTGATCGAGGTGGAGAGGGCCGGGGCCCCATTGGGAGGAGGGGCAAATTGCCATCCCTACTCTTAGCTAGGATTTTTTGCCTTTTTTCTATTTATTTACCTTATTGTCATTGAATAGGTTTGTATTTACCATTTTACCTTTTATTTTTGTTTTTTTATTCCTTACTTTTCAAGATCTTTTTTGTTATTTTCTTATTCCATTTGCCAAGGCATTTAATGCCTTTGTTGTTTGCTTTTGTATTAACTCCAACTTGCTAAACTTTTTGTATGTTTATTTGTGAAAAATCCTTATGTTTATATATACCATTTATCTCAAGCATATATTATTGCTTTATCTATCCTTGGTTATTCTTTTAATTACCCATCTTTGGTTTCTCTCCTACGAATGCAATGAAAGAACTAGAAACACTTTGAAAATTATTTTGCTCTTAATGGTTTTTGGTTCCAAGAATTTAAATTTAAAATTTATAATTCATATATTTGAGCTCAAGATCGCGCGAATTGAGTTAAGATTCTTAATACATTCTCCTCATGTTTTTTCCAGTATGTAGGTTCTTCTATTCATACTCAAATTTGTTGATGTGTATTGCAATTTATTATTTTGGTAATATATTTTTTTTTTTAATTTTTTTTTGTAAAGATGGAGGGATGCAAAGCAGTATAACCTTCTTCTTCTTTCTTGCTCCAATGAAATTAGAGGCTTTGACAACTCATAATCCATAAAAGATCAATCCTGGACATAAAAGAGCATCAACAATGAAACTCAGCCGAAAACAAAATAGGTCTCTAATGGGTAAACGAATCAACAATGGATCCTTGAGGGATTCAGCTCCCATGATTGATTTCCCTTCTCATAATCTATTGGGGAGACCAGCGGAAAGGTTTGTGGAGGTAAGGGATGTCGTGGCTGGGTCTAGGTGGGTCTGGAGGCTGTTGGATTCATGAGAGGATGATGAGAAGGATGTTGGCTCCGCTAGGTTCGTGAGAAAGGACAGCGAGCGGGTAGTGGACTCTGTTGGGATGGACGACGTGGAGGTGGCAGTAGGCAGCCAGATGTTTGAGTTCCTTTTTCTTGATTTTGTTTTACTTGATTTTTGGGATTCTTTAGGAAAAAAATGATAAAATTTAAGTCTATCAGCTGCCTCTTTTGTCCAGATATTGAGCTAGATATAGATTTTTTTTTTTTTTAATTCATATATTTGAGTTCAAGATTGCAAAAATAAAGATGAGATTTTTAATATATTTTCCCATGTTTTTGCTAAGATGTAGGTTCTTCTACCCAACTTTGTTGATAAGCATTGCAATTTATTGTTGTTATGATTTTTTATGAACATGGATAAATGCAAAGCAATACGGTTATGGAACAGAAGCGTCAGCTCTAGCTCCTACTGATTCTGATTGGTCAAGCAGTGGAAGCAAGAGGCAGGCTCTTCTTGATTCAAACAAGTGGAGCAGCAGTGGTGCTAGGCAGCCTTCTTCAGACACTGTTCGCTGGTGCAGTGGTAGAACTAGGCCTGATGACTGCAATCTATCCAGTGACAGGTGGTGTGATGGTAGCTCAAAGTCCATCTGGTCATCATCTAAGCCTCACAGACAATGATATCCAAAAGACTGATATGCTTATATTGCAGGAATTTTTTTATTCAACGGGGCAAACTAACCTATTCTATCTTGCAATTACCAGTTTTCAGTCTTTCCTTTTCTTTAATGTAAGGGAAATTTTGAGAAAATTTTAACAACATTGTATTGTAAAAGAACTACTGAATAGTGTTGACAAAAAAAAAAAAAAAAAAGGGCCTAATTAATCAAATTTATTTTATTAATTTTTTAATGATTTAATTTTTTTTTGGGTTATTTCAAAAATTTTAGAAATAAAATTAAAATTTTCTCCAAGTGAAACAAAAATAAAAGATATAGAATATAATTGAAACAAATCAAAAGTTTTAATAGAATTGAGAAAGCACATAAAATTTAGGGAAAACAAATTAAAATTTACCCTTATAATAATGTCAATCCTAAATTTTCTTCGTTTATAGCTCTACTTTCTTTTGAAGGGTTAAAAGTGCCTTTTTCTTTTTGTTTCTGGTTTTTCTTTTTTCTTTTTAGAATTCTTCAACCTGGTTTTTAATTGAAATTTGAATGTGTGACGTATTATCCAAAATCAAATCTATTAAAAAAAAAAAAAAAACTGATGGGTTATAAAAAGCTTAAGGAAATTTATCGATAACAATTTTAACTTTAGTATTCTAAGGCTTCATTATGCCGCATTCATGGGTTTGACGTTATTACAAATAGGTGACCCTGGACAGTATTTACAATTGTTAAATATAACTTTTTATTGGTTAAATTCTATTGCATGGATTAGCAAATTTCAAAGGAATAAATATGTTATTTCTTACATGACTTTGGCCCAATACTTTGATTATTTCTTTGCAATAAGTAAAATTTTCTTATAAAATGATGATTCCAGCCCCACAAGTATTTTTAATTTGATGATTATGATGATTTTATTATTGAGTCAATCTATTTCTTTAAAATCATTTTTTTTTTCATAAATGAAGTTTCATCTTTTAATTTGCTAAATAGACTAATATCGATAATGTGATGTAATTTTAGAGGAAGGCTATGTAATTTGAATGAAAAACACATGACATTTGCTAGAGGGGAGGAGAAATAGTGTAATACAATATAAATAATCCTGGAAAGAAGATGGTGTGACCAACAATCTAAAAAATGGCACCCATCATCCATAAGGTTGAGGTTTCTATACGAATAACATTTATATTCACTCATATTAACAATTATCATTAATAAAAAAAGTCATAAATGTTGTACTATCAATATTCATTGAACTCTCAAATTACTATAAACCAAGAATTATTTCTACTATGCTACTTTATTTTCATGGTTAGCTCTGGCAAGTTTAAGTGTTTTTTTGTATTTGTTTACATATATTGTTTAATAAGTCATTGTTGATTTTTTTCATACAAAATTAATTTATAAAATGTAAACATTACATACGAATTTTTATTTGTGTTGTATTTTTGAAAAACCTTGCAACATTTCCTCTCGTTATTTGACTGACATTCATGAGTGAATACCAACGAATTACTCATCAATGTCCTCGATCAAATATTTTCACTTTAATCTATACATAAAAACAAAGTTCCCTTCAAATAAATAAAAAATATAGCAAATATAGCAATGTCCATTGATATTCAAAATTATTGGGTAAAATATTTTATCGTTTACTTAACAATTTTCATTTGACTCAACTCATCCTTTGTAGATAATAATTGACAACTTGTAGTTTAGCACGAGACGATAACTAGTATGGCTCGAAAACAATTGGAATACCTTGTGACACAATAGAAACAAGAGGTTCTAGACCAAAATAAGGCATTGAAAATAAACCATTGCAAATATTGGATAGACCACTAGCATAGGGATGGTAATTTGCCTCACCTTGATGGTGCCCGGCCCTTTTCTCCCCGTTTCACCCCGGTCAACGCGAGGACTCTCCGTGTTGATCGGGAATGGGGCGAGGCGGGGCTCCCCATGAACGGGGATGGGGCGAGAGATGGTATTTGCTTGCCCTGCTCCGTTTGCTCCGTTTACCCCATTTCATGATTTTTTCTCCCTAAAATTATAATTGTACCCTATATAAAATTTGTAATTAATGACTTTTAGGGTTTATTTTCTATATGAACCATCATTTTTTTTTATATATAGTTTGAAATTTAGTAGTAAAATGGGATAAGAAGAAACGAAAAAAAATGCCTTGTTTGCCCCGTCATTGTCCTATGAGGATCCCCATCCCCGTTTGGGACGAGGAATATTATGATAAATTTTACCCCGAATGGGGTATGAGGCGAGGATGGGAAAACTTTTCGGGGGTGAGGATAGGGATGGCCATCCTTGCCTCCGCCCCGCCCAATTGCCATTCCAACTAGCAACACTAGTTACAACTGAAAGCATATAGTATTCAACACCATTTCTAGGAGGATTTCCATTTGCATCAAGCACATAAATCCATGGTTAAGCCACTATGGATTGTACATGAAGATATTCAAACAATATATATTTTTATGATTCCATTACTTAGTGTATGATTAAAAAAAAAAACTACAAAATACTTATAAAAACAAGAAGTATATTTTTTTCCCCATAATAAATCAACCATGACAACAAAAATATTAATTGTGCTTGAGGAAATTAAAAGAATATAATTGCATATTTATGTTTGAGACTAGAATAACCTATAATTTCAAGTTTGAGGCTTAATCAATTATTAGAAATCAAAGGACTAACATTTAATATGAAAACACCAAAAAATGTTGAAGGATTTATTTTCAATAACTTAAATAAATAAAAAGATGAAAAAGTTAACGAAGAAACCACAAAAGCTGAGTTAATGAAAATTAATATAATATAGTGTTTAAAGAGCTGATTATCAACTCGTTGCTATGGTGTATTATTAAAAAAAATAATTTTTATTTATTAAAACATAGAAATTTAATTAAACAAACCAATGAATGACACTATATGTAATTAAAATGCACAAAAACAATAATACACTACTTGTAATTAAAATGAGTGGATATGATTTAAAAAAAAAACACTTAAATAGAATATATAAGTAAAAAAAGAGGTAGATATGTATATGCATAAAATATAGATAGAAATTTTCAAAATAAATAAATAAATTATGTATTAAATAAAAAATTATTTAAAAGTAAACAGAAAGAGAGGTAGAAAGTGAACTTACCCGAGAAAATAGTAGTGTTATATATATATATATATATATATATATATATTTGTTAAATATATTCCAAATAGGTAACTCATGAAAATTTAAAATACATAAAGAGTAATTATTATACATATACAATAGTTACGACATTGGCTCACTTTTGAGGAGAGAGATTGACAAAAAAAAAAAAAAAAATTCAAACCCATAAAAAATGATAAGAAGATTTACAAGGTTTAACTTTTTTCTATCTTATTTCTCTCTCCTCCTTGTGTCCATCTCTCTTTTATAGAGTAACTTACACTAGTTACTCCATGAGTAATATAAAATTTCTCGATAACTCATCGGTAAAATTATTTTTATTTCAATTTTTTTAATAGTAATACTTTTATAATTAATCTAATTTTGGGTTTTTCCCATATATAGTCTTTGTACTCTACGAATTTTCTAACTTAAATCCTATATTATTTTTTCTATTGATTGGGTCCTTCTACTCATTTTGTCTCATTTTCATCCTTCCATTATAACATCCATTAATCACAATTAAGTTCAATAAGTTTTTGTGTTTAAATGTTTTGATATTTTATTAATCTATAATTACTTCATCTTATATAAAGTTTTACAAAGAATAATCTATTACAAGTTATTAACAAAGAGGTATACATAAAGGCAAGTAAAAAGGAAAATCTATCTTTAGCCTAATAATGATTAACGAGTACAAACATAATGAATTGAATATAATTGTTATTGTTGTTGCTCAAGCTCGAAAGACATAGAGTCGTCGGGAAGTAACGTGCAACTTGAGGAGATAAAACATATAGGTTGTTGTTGTTAACTACAATTTGAAAGAATAAAGATTACGAGTTATAGAGTTCTTTGAAGAATAGAGGTCTTTTATCCTAACACTCTCCCATAAGTCGACTATGATTTGTCACCCACGAGTTAATTAGTCCCTTAGAAATTGTAAACATGTAGTAGACAAAAGTTTTATTAGAATGTCAACTATTTGATATTGACCTAAGATAAGCCAAACCTATAAACTTTCCTTAGAAACCATATCCATTACAAACTGGAAATCGATTTGAATGTATTTAGTTCATGTATGGAATAGGGGGTGATGGCCAAATAGGTTGTGCTAATATTATTACACTAAACTATAGGTTTAGAAGAAAAAGATACACCAAGTTTGCCAAGCCAATAACCGAGCCAAGATATTTTAGCTTACATTTGACTTTACTTGGAATTATGAGCAATAGTTTTCTACCTGAAGACTTCCGGGATATTAAGTTACGGCCTAGATATACGGCATAACCTCTTATTGATTTTTTATCATTTAAGCAATTCACCTAATTAGAGTTAGAAAATCTAGAAAGAGAAGGAATAGAGGATTTACAAAGATGAAGACCAAGATTCACGAGTAAGTTCAACATAGCATAGAATTCACTTGACAAACATCCAATGATAAGCCATTAGACTATGCATATATTGACATACCTTGTTAATTGCAAATGCAATATTTGTACGAGTTAGTGTCGCATATTATAATGCTCTTCCAACTTGGTGATAAAGAGTCGCTTCCTCAAAGGGGCCAAATGAAGTTTTGAGTAGACATAAGAGTGGAAACGGGGTAGCAAAGTTACATCCCTAAAGTCGTCAATGTATTTACATTTAGAGAGAAAATTATCATGCTTTGTCTATAACAATTGAATATCCAAAAAGTAAGCGATATCACCAAGGTCCATGGTAGAAAATTTAGAGTTCAAAGCAATAATAATTGAATGAAAAAAAAAATCAAATTATTACTAGTTATAAGAATGTCGTCCACATAGATTAGGAGGAAAATTCTATAC